CCTTCCTATGCCACACTGATCACTACGAACCAAACCAACACCACTTTCCATTTGAATTTTAATTCCAGACAGGTGTAAGATATTATTTGCATTAGGCTAACTACAACACTTGTGAAAGTAATGATGACAGCAAATAAGTGGCAGCAGCACCGTTGTGTCCGTTGATGACCCTTTTGATTACGACCCCCTCCCAACTCTCATCGGAGCAAATACGACCCCCTGTCGAGGATTTCCTCGACCGTTATTCACCCTTGTTAACCATGAGACTCCTGAATACTAGGCCTGTTATATCTCGCGGTTTCGAATCAGGAGCACTCGGCATATCACTCTTGCGGTTGCCCAGACTAACCACAACATTTGATTGGCAGGGGGTTCCTTTTCAAACGCCTAATTTCTGGACTCGTGCCGTTAATGTTTGTCTTTAATTCTTAAAATCCTGAGTCTCTATTCTGGAACCCGATATCTCTGTGGAACACGATTAGCACATCCCGACACCATTGAATTTTAACTGTGTATTTTTCAAGGGAGTCCTTCCCTGAAAAATCATGGTTTTATTACCCATAATCTTTAGCTTGAGACTCATCTTACGAAAAGAACAAAAAAGCTGCGTTTGTTTCGGTAAGCAGCCCAAAAAACTAGATGAGCGCTGCTACGTTTGAGTTGCAGCCGGGCATCCGTCACAAATGTTGGCGGTGGGAAAGCTTCCATTTGGTTCTCGGAGTGCTGTTACTAGGAAGTGTTTATATCCTTTTCACTTATTGCACTGACATATCGCGCTTTTCGCTGCATTCTTTCTATCGATCTGCTTCTGCTCTGTTCTCCAAAATGGCACGCTCCAACATATTAGTTACCAGTTTAGCTCTGCACGCTACCGCGCGCATGACACGGAAGGCTTCGGTGGAACTAGACACTTCTAATGTTCTACCGCTAAGCAATAAGCTGCTTCGTTAGTAGCGTTGGCCGACCGTTGATAGGCTGCCTTTTGTAGCTAATGCTTACTGCTTTATAAGTGCAGTGAAGTGTGAATTTGATGGGATGTCTGTAACCAGCCACCATGCATCGAATGTCAGAATAATGTATGCGCGTCGGAAGTATTATTTGCATGTCATAATGTTTCTAGGTGGATAATCCCATAGCTCATTATCGTGCTTCTTCCAATAGTTTGATGTTGACTATGGCAAAATGAATTGATATTGAAATGAAATGCATTATCTGGAGTCTGTTTTGAAGTTAACTCTAAGTTCCTTGGCGTTACCTCACCAAAAAATTCATGTCCGACCCTGTACTTCACTTGGAAGAACCAACTCCTCACTGCTGTTGCAAGGCGCGCTATGAATTTCGTGAAATTTGCTCCAGCTCCTCTTATAAGCTCTTATCAGTCTTTGTCGCTTTTCATCCCCCATCAAATTGTCTCCGTCCTACAGCCTACGTTATACGCAGAAGACAGCGCTCCATAGGCGCAGGGAAGCGCGCTATGAAATTCGTGAAACTTGTGTTTCAGGGCCTCTCCCCAGCTCTCATCAGTTGCTTTCACTTTCTGTCGCTTTCTGAATAAATATGTTCCCATCCCCTATATCATATCTCAGAATCAATGTGAACAAAATCTTATTCCAAAATCCATTCGCAGTAAATCTGCTTTTCGCGTAGTGCTCTTGTCCGATTATGGTAAAGTGCGCGTGGTAGGATGGCCTCGTAGAACCAGCGGTATCGTTGGAGGAAGAGGTTCAGTTGCACTACGAAATTAAAGAGTGAAAGTGACAGCTTCCGAACGAGAGTTCTGTAATGCGTGAGCATTGTCAGCCCCTATGCGGTGAATCATCCCTTGATCCGTATTGACTCCCTTGCACAGAGCTTCAGCTCTTGGAAAAAAGGCCCTGCCTTCTTCAGTTCTAAGTTAGGCCTTGGTTTTGATCGGAATCCACCTGCAGCATTAGCTTTATTCCAACACGAATATCACAATCTTTGACGCGAACACCTAGTACGCATTCCATGGAGCCGGAGCGCTTGATACATGAATGCAATAGCTCTATTATATGGTCGTGATGCTTGGTACAGACTGGTAGATCAGCTCACCATACCTTCTGGCGTAGAGTTGATGCCAATTTTGATCAAAGGGGGCAAAACTACTGTATTCTTGAAGAAACGAGATTTCGACTCAACACGGGAATGAATATGGGGTATTACTATGAAAGGCACTTTTAGATTTGGAATGATGATAATAAAAGGATAAAGCATTTGCCGTTGATCAATCCCTTTTTGGGATGCGGCACGCATTCTACTTCCATTTGTACATTCGCAGTGGCATTTGAATGCGATGTGGCCTATACAATGACTTGCGGGGGCCAGCCGATGTACAAGTCAGTGTTTTTATCCTCCCAGACAAGTCTGGTACCAATTAACCGACCCCGGAGGGATGGAAGGCTTTTGGTTGGCCCTGGTACCGATCGTGGCGTGAGTCTGTCTAGCATTGGTTCGTTCACTCTAAGGAAGCTCCCGCCCGAGCTCGTCCCTTGGCCTAATCGGATGATGTTCCCTTTCTGCGTTTTGCTACTTGTGTTCAGTGAACTCTCGTTCCTCCTTGCCACATGGAGCTGACTAATACACATTATAGGACAATCAACCAAGGAGTTCGAATTCAAAGAGTTGGAGTTGTACTTGATAACAAAGAAGACCTTTGAATTATTATGATAAGAGGTAACCTCATACCTGGAATCAGAAACGTGTCGTGATTTGAATTCTTGATCTTGTGATTCATAGACGGCAGCGCTCAGCGGCTGTGAACATCCACTTTAATCGCACTACCCAATGTGAGTTATTATAGGCTCAGTTGGGAGCCTTTATGTCGATATTGCGTGGCCAGGTATAAAAAAGGGCTAGGTTCGTGCGATACTGAGATCACGAATTTGCCTGCCCGAACGCGTGCGAACGTGTTTGCGTGACTGGACCATGCCGCTTGAGCATCGACTTCCAGGCTCAGTGAAGTGTAAGCGCGCGATATTATACTTCTTTTCATACCTGTTAATTTTCTTGATGCTGTTTTCGTTGCAGTTTCGCTTTTTTGTCATTGCTTGGTATTTCATTTTAGGCTGCTGTTTTTAAATCCATAACCTGCTTTTTTGCGCGCTACTCCTTTTTTGTGCTTATTTATAATAAAATTGCTGGGTCTTAGATAGATTGGACTCTTTAGGGTAAGTACGAACCGTGTTGTGATTTGTAATCTGAGACAAGAAAAGAAGAAAAACACTACGGTCGCGATTGGATTCCCTACTACCACTTCACGGTTCCAACTCTTACTTAGTGGAGCCGGTTAGGTATAAGAATAATGGAGCAGAAGCCTTCGATCTTATGTTGCCATGGGGTTAAGATGACTCATTGTGTTGCGGAGCGCTGTAGACGCGTTAGCAAACCATGAATTTACTAAGCTTATCACGTTACCTTATACCCGGAATTAAGGTAAGTACACTGCCTCCTCTGTATCTGTTTATATCCTTACATGACAGGAGGAAAATAACCATTTCCAAGAAAAAACAACTTTTTTACAGCAATTATTACGCGCTTCAACAAGTATGTGCCTCGGTCGACAACAACTCACAACGTCACCAGATATGCCTTGAAGCTAGACTGCCGCCGATTTGCAGCTATGAAAGGTTTTCGCAAGTTTCACACTGAGTAATTATTACAGATCAAGTTTTTTTTGTTTCCTACTAGGATGACTTCGGAGAACCATATCTTTGGTATGTCGTTCGAACAAACTGGTCGTGCACGCATGTGAAACCCCTACCCGCTCTCAATTGCGAAAATCTCGAGGGAGACCGTTTCCGTGAAGGAGCGTCATAGGATGTGGTAACTGCTGGTAAACGGATCGAACTGGAACATCATCGATTTCAGCATGATTCTGTAAATGTCAACTCCTCGGGCGAGCACTTTCGCACTAAAAAGTGGAAAGTAAGAAAAAGGTCGTGTGTGGCTCCCACAACGATTCACAACAACGTCTGCTGTCCGGAGTTGGAGGAAAAGTAATAAGATGGAGTCGAACGAAGTCGACGGGGACGCGAGATAGCGCAACGGAAAGTTGACGTATATTGCTGGACAGTGCCGAGGGCAACACCCTTCATTACATAATGTGGTGTTGTACTCGAAGGTGAGCATCTGAGGCTGGGTTTTCAAAAGCGTTCATGACTGTTCACTTGTAAATTTTGCATTAGGCACTACTCATTCAGGTAAACGCTCGCACAGAAGGGCATTTAAGAAGAAATTGGTAGGTAAAAATGGAGATCACTGCAACCTTAGTACATTTAATGGCCACGATTTTCTTAACACTGGTTCAGGATCCTGCACTATTACGCTTGCGGGTCCTTGGTGAAGTGGACATATGGGCATTTAGGACTGAGCAACACCCACGAGCTGCTCTCTTGTGTGAGGACAGCCACCGTGGAGGCGTACCCTTTACGTGATACCCTCTATGTCGGATTCGGGAAGAGCTGTAAGGGACCCAGAAAAGCTCGATGACGTTTTAGCTCCAACAATTGAATGTTCGGGAGCCTCGCCTGGAATTTGATGAAGAGTGGCTGGAAGGAGGTGATATGAATGTTTTATTATTTTCGGAGGAGAATCGTCGTTACTTTCACTATATAAGCTAAAGAAGTTGGAATCTACAATTCTCTTCAAAGTTCATCATTGGCGCTGCCAGCACGTCTACCATTCAATTCACGAAGCCGTAGTTTGAGAACATTGGAACGTACTTCCGCCATACGTGCCGTGTAGGAGACATTCAATACCTGAGTACCTAACTCGTACAAATGAAGCACGTTAACATAGGGAGTAAGTAACATATTATGATCATCAGTAAATAAGAACACAATGTGTAGATCTGCATAACGAATGTGGCTTTAATTACGAATAAAATGAAACTATCAAAGCACACAGAAAAAAGACAGAAAAAACAACACAACACAACAAAAACAAAGCATACATGTCACTGATAATGATCTTCATTCAAGGAGCATTTCCTGCTGTACCGTACAGCGCAAGACAAATGTCTCCTCCGACTACATCCAAAGAATGCGCCGCGCACCCCGATTCCATCCAAGAATCCAAATACCAGCGTGCTGAAGCCAAATAAGTACCAGCACCCAGCTGGAGTGCAAGTAAGTGTACCTGTACTCTCCGAC